TATTCAGGTAGTAATATTTGCAGGATTTGAACCCACATTTTACTAAGATTCCCACCAGATATGTATCAAGATATATATACAATAGTCTGCTTGAAACAATATTGTGTGTCTGATTTGTTTTTTCCTGCAAAAAGGTTTCCACATTAAAACCCTTAAAAACCCATCTCCTCCTTCTACCTCATTAACACTTCCAGAATCTCTGAATATACAAATGTTGTTCATCTCTAAAGTTTCCTGCTGGACACAAGATGTCTCCTACTTCACTGTAAAGTCCATTCTCAGTGGATGTGCACTGGTGGCTTCAAGTTTCTACATCTTACTAATTAGTTGCATGCCCGATCAGGACTGACTTCCAAACTATTTGTAACTATTAGTGCCCCAGCCCTTACAATCAAATGTTCAATGAGTACAGAGAAACTTTCCACTTTCAGCAGAGGAATGTGAAAACATCCTTTTAGTGTCAAACTCTGCACAGACGGCATTCTGCACAGTGAAAAACATATTATTGACTATAAGGAGACTTTAAGTACAGTAAATAATGGACTTTTTATCATTATCAGAGGTAAAAGTACTAGTATAATTCTGAATGCCCCCTTGGCCATGTAATAGCCTACAACACATTCTATTAAATGAATGATTTGAAAGTCAAAATACGTCAGTATCATCTGTGAGGTAATGATGGTGTCCCAATGATTTCAGATGAGGAGAAAGCTGCCTGTTGCTGGCAGAGGATGGAGGTAAGGAGTCCAGCCCCATCAGAGCTGTCAGGACATTTGACTGGTAAGTAAAAGTCCAAATTGAAATGAAATATTAAATATTTTCTGTGATGACAAGTTTATTATTACAGGGTGTTTTCACTACTGGATTTGCACATTCCATGTGTATTTTTACTGAAATGGTTTTGGTTGGTTTTCAGATTATTTCATTAGAGAAACTAATGACATCACTGGCCTTTGATTATACAAGTAAACCTACAAACACTATTTCAGAAAACTATATTGAATAATATGTAGAAAAAATGTACATGTACCATTTGTACATTTAGTATATTTTAAGTGATAAAATAAAGGAATGTCCCTTGTAGTTACTGACTTTTCTCTGGTAATACAAATCCAGTGAAAAAAATATGAATATTTTAACTTTTCATTATTTTCATAAATCGATTATTGTGTTGCTTATACTGTTAAGTTGGTTTCATTTAATTAAAAAATAATTTAAAACAGTTACAGTCTACTCCACTTTTATTGAAGCAGTTTACAAAGGTAACCCACACACTTTTCGACAACACTTTACAATTACAATCTTCATAAAACAGATGGTGGTGTCGGTTGTAGTCTTCCAGAATCTTTAGGTGGAGGTGGTGGCTGTTGCTGACATGGGTTGCAGGGGAGTACCTGCAGGTGGAGGTAACTGCAGGTTGCTGGAAGAGGCTGCAGACATTTGCAAGAGACTTAAGGTCTCAGCTGTCTTCCAGAATCTGCAGGTGGAGAAAGCTGCAGGTTGAGAGGGAGGAGGCTAGGAGGGTAGGAAGAACAGGGGTAGAGCCTCCAGAATCGCAGGGAACAGTTGCTGGAAGAGGCTACAGGTGGAATTTGAGGTCTCAGCCTTTGGCCAGAATCTGCAGGTGGAGGAAGAAGCTGCAGGTTGCTGGAAGAGGCTACAGGTGGAGTTTGAGGTCTCAGCCTTTGGCCAGAATCTGCAGGTGGAGGAAGCTGCAGGTTGCTGGAAGAGGCTACAGGTGGAGTTTGAGGTCTCAGCCTTTGGCCAGAATCTGCAGGTGGAGGAAGCTGCAGGTTGCTGGAGGAGGCTACAGGTGGAGTTTGAGGTCTCAGCCTTTGGCAAGAATCTGCAGGTGGAGGAAGTTGCAGGTTGCTGGAAGAGGCTACAGGTGGAGCTTGAGGTCTCAGCCTTTGGCCACAATCTGCAGGTGGAGAAAGATGCAGCTTTTTGGCACAGGATGTAGGTGGAGGTTTAGCCCGCAGTTTTCTGCCACAAGGCTGAGGCTACAGGTGGAGTTTGAGGTCTCAGCTGTCTTCCAGAATCTGCAGGTGGAGAAAGCTGCAGGTTGCTGGAGGAGGCTACAGGTGGAGTTTGAGTTCTCAGCCTCTGGCCAGAATCTGCAGGTGGAGGAAGCTGCAGGTTGCTGAAGGCTACAGGTGGAGTTAGTCTCAGCCTTGGCCAGAATCGCAGGTGGAGGAAGCTGCAGGTTCTGGAAAGGCTACAGGTGGAGTTTGAGGTCCAGGTTCTGGTGTGGAGGATTGTCAGGTATTTCAAAAACCAGGTGCAAATGTTAAAGGTTTAGACCTTCATCCAGAATCTACAGGTGGAGAAGCTGCAGGTTGCTGGGAGAGGCTACAGGTGGAGTTTGAGGTCTCAGCCTTTGGCCAGAATCTGCAGGTGGAGGAAGCTGCAGTTGCTGGGAGAGGCTACTGGTGGAGTTTGAGTTCTCAGCCTTGGCCAGAATCTGCAGGTGGAGGAAGCTGCAGGTTGCTGGAGGAAAGTGGAGTTTGAGGCTCAGCCTTGGCCAGAATCTGCAGGGGAGGAAGCTGCAGTTGCTGGGAGAGGCTACAGGTGGAGCTTGAGTTCTCAGCCTTGGCCAGAATCTGCAGGTGGAGGAAGCTGCAGGTTGCTGGAAGAGGCTACAGGTGGAGTTTGAGGTCTCAGGTTGCTGGATGTTGGAGGAATTTGGTTGCAGGTATTTTCAAAATGCAGGTTGCAGATGATGTTGTGACAGAGGTCTTAGCCTTCATCCAGAATCTGCAGGTGGAGGAAGCTGCAGGTTGCTGGAAGAGGCTACAGGTGGAGTTTGAGGTATCAGCCTTTGGCCAGAATCTGCAGGTGGAGGAAGCTGCAGGTTGCTGCAAGAGGCTATAGGAGGAGTTTGAGGTCTCAGCCTTTGGCCAGAATCTGCAGGTGGAGGAAGCTGCAGGTTGCTGGAGGAGGCTACATGTGGAGTTTGAGGTCTCAGCCTTTGGCCAGAATCTGCAGGTGGAGGAAGTTGTAGGTTGCTGGAAGAGGCTACAGGTGGAGTTTGAGGTCTCAGCCTTTGGCCACAATCTGCAGGTGGAGAAAGATGCAGCTTTTTGGCACAAGATGTAGGTGGAGGTTTAGCCCGCAGTGGTAGCCCCAGTTTTCTGCCACAATGCTGAGGCTACAGGTGGAGTTTGAGGTCTCAGCTGTCTTCCAGAATCTGCAGGTGGAGAAAGCTGCAGGTTGTTGGAGGAGGCTACAGGTGGAGTTTGAGGTATCAGCCTTTGGCCAGAATCTGCAGGTGGAGGAAACTGCAGGTTGCTGGAAGAGGTTAAAGGTGGAGTTTGAGGTCTCAGCCTTTGGCCAGAATCTGCAGGTGGAGGCAGCTTTTTAGCACAGGATGTAGGTGGAGTTGGGAAGCTGCAGGTTGCTGGAAGAGGCTACAGTTGGAGTTTGAGGTCTCAGCCTTTGGCCAGAATCTGCAGGTGGAGGAAGCTGCAGGTTGCTGGAAGAGGCTACAGGTGGAGTTTGAGGTCTCAGCCTTTGGCCAGAATCTGCAGGTGGAGGCAGTGGTGCAGGTTGCAGGCAGAGGTTTGAAACAGCTGTGTTGGGAGGATTTGGCAGGTGGAGGTGGCATTTGATGTTTCTGGCAGAAGGTTTCAGTGGAGCATGTCTTTACAGTTTTCTGCTCTCTGTAGGTGGAGACTAGAGGAGCAGATGGTTGATGTCATAGGAAGGCAGAGTTTAGATCTGAAGTGGGTGGAGGAGACTGTAGTCCTGGCAGGTGATAGGTGGTGGTTGAGGTTGAGGTTGAATTAAAGGCTGCATTTACTGATGTTTAAAAAACCCTATTCTATTGAACTAGTATAATATTTACAGATGCAGAGTAACTGCTCCTTCAGTGTCACTTTGAGTTCTTAGCCCTTTTACTTGGTGGCTGAGCAGGGCTCGGCTCTCCCAGCGTGTCAATATTATGAAGGGGTGGAGAACTTCCAACTCCATATGATATGTCCACACGCATGAGTCCACCATCACTTTCTGACACTGTCATTGTGGGGCGATTCAGTCGCTCCCACAGCTTCTGTTTAATTCGTAGTCCCAGCCCCAGACTGTATGGACGAGCCCGGCCATTCTTGTATCTATGAGGAGTGGAATGTCCAGAAATGTAATCATGATGATTCTTGTGATTGAAAAGCTTCTATGTTGAAAGGCTGAGTGATAAACTTTGTGATTTTATTTCGAATTTATGACACAAACATACCTCAGCATATCATCTACCACCTCGTGGTAGATCTGCTGGTAATCTTCCACAGAATAGTTGTGTATTCTCAGTGGGCTGTCATCGTTTACAGCAGTGGAGTTCAGCTGGTTATCAGCAGTGGAGGGCCGGGGGCTGGGCAGCACATCTGACACAACAGGTAGCTCAGCAGGAGGGATGGCGGATAGAGGCCTGGGCACCAAATTCAGCTTCTCTGGATGTTCTGCAGAGGGTTTGTTAGGACTGGGCTCGGATCTCCGCTTCCTCTTTTGGGGAAGTTTGGCTTTAGCAGCGGATTGCTGGGGCCCTGGGGTCACAGTCAGCACCTGGGGAAGGTCAGCAGCACACGAGAGGATGTCAGACTCTGATAACATTTTTACTATTAACAGAGGTGGATAAGTCATTGTTTTGCAAGTCTTAAGTCCCAAGACAAGACAGGCAACTACCTAGTCAAGTTCCCAGTCAAATTTGGTCAGACAAATTGCATCAGGGGAATTCTTTTTTTCAAATTTTGTCAAGTCGAGTCTGAAGTCAATAGATTTGTGACTCGAGTCCACCCCTCTAACATTTATATTTTTATAATCTGACAAGAGACAATCTCCATCAGATGAACTACAGATAAGTCAAAGACCCTTCACATATTCTGTCCATTTAAGTTCTGCAGTAAGAACTTAAAGGACAATACAAATGAACTTCAAGTATTTTCTACATGGAATTCTTGAGCAGCGTATGACTAAACAATTTGAACTGTTCTGTTAATCTTTTAATCCAGATGTCTAACCTGGTCCTCCCTGCAGCACGGACACCTGCTGCGAGCGCCAGACTTCTGTGCACCTTGTGCCTGTCGTGCAGAAGTTCTCCTCTTCCTCCCGTAATGATGGTCTTTCAGGTGGATGAGAACGTCACACTGCAACAATACACACACACACACACACACGTTAGAATGAGGCTCAACAAGCAACAAGTGGCATTGAATAATGTAGATTTCATAGCACCAGTGGCTGCAAAATAGTTTACTTTCACCATAAAATCACTTTTTATCAAACAGAGGCCTGTTGACCTTTTCATCTCATGGAGCTTTGTTGCTCCCTAACATGTCCTCCAAAACAGGCTAAAATTACCCGCTGGAGAAAAACAACGAGGTACTGGGCCCCTATTAACTCCCATTACTCACACTCTTACAGTGTGCACAGTTTTTCAGTGCTGGAACTACATGGCCCCAGATTTACTGTGCGGTAACACATTAAACACGACAGTTTAGGAAAATTCAACCAAATCTGAATTAATGAAGGTTTTAAACCCAGATTGTGACACAGGGGCCCCTGACTTCCAGACAGGGTTTGTAAGTCAAGAAATAAACGTATCTGTACTTTGCTTGAGTATTTTTTTTCTTATTTATTTCACTCCCTACATTTTTACCCAAATATCCGTACTTTCTACTCCTATTATTTTTTAACAGGTTTGTTACTGTAGTGTTAATGCATTTGAGGGGAATCATTCTGAACATTAAGACTGGAGTATATCACGTTTGACAGACGTTACATGAAGAAAACAACATAAAATTTGAAAAAGATGAGACCAAACAGATTAGAAAGGAAGACTCAACCCTATCTGAAGCTTCAGTTAGCTTTAGACAGAAACAGCTGGTAGAAATGTCATCCAGAGAAACCAAGAGAGTATTTTCATTTACATTTACATTTCAGAGGCTGTACTTTTTCACTTTTATATATATATATTCATATAATGCATGAAAATATAAAGGCAAATTACTGATGACAATTAAATAAGTTCAAGGACCTCACAGTTGTACTTATGACAATTCACAATATCACTATCTATCTCAGCTGGGAGCTGGCTGATGTAAATATGTGATTTTAATTATTTTATTGGATATTTTTAAAGATAAAGATGGTAATTGTAATTATTTTCTGCGCATTACTTTCATTTATTTGCTTTAATGAACAGAGGTATTGAGGTGATACAGCCAGACAGTGTACATTGATACAGTAACCCACTCCCACATTATGTGTAACGCGCATGCGTTGGCCTGAACAGGCGCTTCTCTTCCCTGCACTTTATTAATCCGTTGTATTAATTGTACTTGCAATATATTCTTTGTACTATGCGTGTTTATTCTCTTTATCATGTGTGCCACAGCCTGTTAGCAATGAATCAGTGAACCTTAAGGCCTCTCGACGGTAAAACACAGACAACAGCACAGACTTTCAAAGTGTTCAAATCTCACATTTTCCATGATGGAAGTTAGTTGTGTCGCTTTAATCAGTCTCAGTGAGTCTTTGGCTCTTGTCAGGACGGACAATCCTCAGTAGAAGCTCTAAATTTGAAGAAATCGTTGAGTAAAACTCGTGAAAAACTTTTCTTGACTTTTAGAAGCTTTGTTTGTTTTTAAATGATAATGGAATATAAATGATGCACCTGGAGACAAACATAGCAACCGTGGAATCCTCCCCACCCTTTTGTGCACATCTGTTCTACAGTCACATCTCACCTCTGGATTTCAACTTTTATCCATTTAATGTGCAAAACACCTGAGATCACGTCCATATCTAACTATGAATCTAAGAAATGTCCAGCTCTGACTGCGTCCTCACTCTATTGTACGATAGAAGTTTGCTTTCACTCTTTAAATGAACTGCTCCTTATAGGTTCTGACTATAAATCTCAGCAGGCTTGTGCATCATTTTGACACATTCCAGGCTCATTTATGAAAAACTATTTCTACATATATTCAAAATAGTTTGTTTTTTTCACTCTATCTGTCAGGTTTGTCCACTCTCACACTACTATGAACATTATTCCATAAACACAGTACTTAAAGGAAGCACATAAAGAACCCTCTCCACAATCACAAAACAATATTTTATTTTGGATTTTGATTGATTGACCCAGATTTACTGTGCTGTAACACATTAAACACGACAGTTTAGGAAAATTCAACATGTATGTACAAATCTTAATTAATGAAGGTTTTAAAGCCAGATTGGGTTTGTAAGTCAAGAAATAAACAAATCTGTACTTTGCTTGAGTATTTATTTTTCTGATTTATTTCACTCCCTACATTTTCACCCAAATATCCGTACTTTCTACTCCACATGTCTTTGGACTACTACTGGAGTAAAACTTTTGCCACCTCTGCACACTGGACCTTTCAGACCTTTATGGTGTCAGTTGTGCTTTAGTGTTGCAAATTCCAAAATACATTTCCAATTAAATTACTCCAAACCAGTATTTTACCATATAATGCATGAAAATATAAAGGCAAATTACTGATGACAATTAAATAAGTTCAAGGACCTCACAGTTGTACTTATGACAATTCACAATATCACTATCTATCTCAGCTGGGAGCTGGCTGATATAAATATGTGGTTTTAATTATTTTATTGGATATTTTTAAAGATAAAGATGGTAATTGTAATTATTTTAAAAAAATTATAAACTGCGCATTACATTCATTTATTTGCTTTACTGAACAGAGGTATTGAGGTGATACAGCCAGACAGTGTACATTGATACAGTAACCCACTCCCACATTATGTGTAACGCGCATGCGTTGGCCTGAACAGGCGCTTCTCTTCCCTGCACTTTATTAATCCGTTGTATTAATTGTACTTGCAATATATTCTTTGTACTATGCGTGTTTATTCTCTTTATCATGTGTGTCACATTACCGCTAATATTGCCATACCTGCTCCTCCTGCTGTTAGAACAATAGGACTAATACTACTACTCTTAATACTGTTACAAGCACTGATAGGACTAGTGATGCTGATGGTAAAATGCACTTGTTTCTAATTATTTTCAATTGATTCAAAAAGTGTAATGGAGCATAATGTTTGTTTTTGTATTGTAAGCTACAGCTTTGTTTTGGCCCATTACGGTGACCTATGATGTAAGTAGTGTAATAGCACTTATTCAGGTAGTAATATTTGCAGGATTTGAACCCACATTTTACTAAGATTCCCACCAGATATGTATCAAGATATATATACAATAGTCTGCTTGAAACAATATTGTGTGTCTGATTTGTTTTTTCCTGAAAAAAGGTTTCCACATTAAAACCCTTAAAAACCCATCTCCTCCTTCTACCTCATTAACACTTCCAGAATCTCTGAATATACAAATGTTGTTCATCTCTAAAGTTTCCTGCTGGACACAAGATGTCTCCTACTTCACTGTAAAGTCCATTCTCAGTGGATGTGCACTGGTGGCTTCAAGTTTCTACATCTTACTAATTAGTTGCATGCCCGATCAGGACTGACTTCCAAACTATTTGTTAACTATTAGTGCCCCAGCCCTTACAATCAAATGTTCAAGTAGAGTACAGAGAAACTTTCCACTTTCAGCAGAGGAATGTGAAAACATCCTTTTAGTGTCAAACTCTGCACAGACGGCATTCTGCACAGTGAAAAACATATTATTGACTGGAAGGAGACTTTAAGTACAGTAAATAATGGACTTATTATCATTATCAAAGGTAAAAGTACTAGTATAATTCCGAATGCCCCCTTTGGCCATGTAATAAGCTACAACACATTCTATTAAATGAATGATTTGAAAGTCAAAATACGTCAGTATCATCTGTGAGGTAATGATGACGTCCCAATGATTTCAGATGAGGAGAAAGCTGCCTGTTGCTGGCAGAGGATGGAGGTAAGGAGTCCAGCCCCATCAGAGCTGTCAGGACATTTGACTGGTAAGTTAAAGTCCAAATTGAAATGAAATATTAAATATTTTCTGTGATGACAAGTTTATTATTACAGGGTGTTTTCACTACTGGATTTGCACATTCCATGTGTATTTTTACTGAAATGGTTTTGGTTGGTTTTCAGATTATTTCATTAGAGAAACTAATGACATCACTGGCCTTTGATTATACAAGTAAACCTACAAACACTATTTCAGAAAACTATATTGAATAATATGTAGAAAAAATGTACATGTACCATTTGTACATTTAGTATATTTTAAGTGATAAAATAAAGGAATGTCCCTTGTAGTTACTGACTTTTCTCTGGTAATACAAATCCAGTGAAAAAAATATGAATATTTTAACTTTTCATTATTTTCATAAATCGATTATTGTGTTGCTTATACTGTTAAGTTGGTTTCATTTAATTAAAAAATAATTTAAAACAGTTACAGTCTACTCCACTTTTATTGAAGCAGTTTACAAAGGTAACCCACACACTTTTCGACAACACTTTACAATTACAATCTTCATAAAACAGATGGTGGTGTGGGTTGTAGTCTTCCAGAATCTTCAGGTGGAGGTGGTGGCTGTTGCTGACATGGGTTGCAGGGGAGTACCTGCAGGTGGAGGTAACTGCAGGTTGCTAGAAGAGGCTGCAGACATTTGCAAGAGACTTAAGGTCTCAGCTGTCTTCCAGAATCTGCAGGTGGAGAAAGCTGCAGGTTGTTGGAGGAGGCTACAGGTGGAGTTTGAGGTCTCAGCCTTTGGCCAGAATCTGCAGGTGGAGGAAGCTGCAGGTTGCTGGAAGAGGCTACAGGTGGAGTTTGAGGTCTCAGCCTTTGGCCAGAATCTGCAGGTGGAGGAAGCTGCAGGTTGCTGGAAGAGGCTACAGGTGGAGTTTGAGGTCTCAGCCTTTGGCCAGAATCTGCAGGTGGAGGAAGCTGCAGGTTGCTGGAAGAGGCTACAGGTGGAGTTTGAGGTCTCAGCCTTTGGCCAGAATCTGCAGGTGGAGAAAGCTGCAGGTTGTTGGAGGAGGCTACAGGTGGAGTTTGAGGTCTCAGCCTTTGGCCAGAATCTGCAGGTGGAGGAAGCTGCAGGTTGCTGGAGGAGGCTACAGGTGGAGTTTGAGGTCTCAGCCTTTGGCCAGAATCTGCAGGTGGAGGAAGCTGCAGGTTGCT